TCTTGGAAACCAATCTATTCACTAAAAGATCATTAGGGCACTCCATTCATTTTGTGACTACTGTTTTTATACTCTTGTGCCAAGTATGTTATTTGGGTTCTAATAATAGTACATGGTACAATGTAACACAGGGGAAATTTGATTTACCCTGAGGTAGTCTGTTACAATGCATTCTTAACACAACAATACATATTTACCCACACCACCCTGCTTCTAATTGTTATGAGGTTATCAATTCATTAGTTTTATATAAATGTGTAAGCACAGGATGCAATGAACTTCTTATAAAATGGTGGTTTGAAGCAGTAAAGCACTGCATTCAGAGTTTTACTTTACCCAAGGGAAGAAGTTTAACTTGACTGATCCCCCACAATCCAAGAAAACTGGGTGAAAATAAGGGAGGTACTGTATCACCTGAGTCTTAATGGAGAAAATCACAACAAGTGATTAACTTACCGAAGTTACCTCGATGTAAACTCATGCAGAACTAGGAAGTTTCAATTCTTCTGACATAAGCTATTTCCATTGTTTACGACATGTGACAACATGGTCCTGTATCAAATCTTATAGTGCTAATAACAGAACCCTAAATGCTCCCATAAGTTTTATCTTGGTGGTTCTCAAAGCTGACTGCACTGCCCAGTTACTAATGGCTAAACCCCGCCCTAGATGAATCAAACTTTCTGGTGAGGTGAAATTCTGAGAGGATATAGCCAGCATTAAAAAGCCTGCTCTACCTCATTTGGTCCTAATAACACTGCCAGGTATGAGAGCAAGCATCATTATGCCTGTTTTACAGCCGAGTCTGCAGAAGAATAAATGACTTGCCTAAGGTCACAAAAAGCAAGAAAAGTGTTCCAAGCCCTATTCCTCTACACACTACCTTCATATATGAAATCGTCTAAAATTTGCAAATAAGTAAGTTATCTTTCTACATAAAGTGTTAAGAAAGTAGGAAAAAAAAACCCCACCAAATATTCGGTCCCCAATATTTGCCAAATTAAAGTGACGGTGAATATTAGACTTTGAATTATGCAACTCTATGACAGAGATGGAAAAACGAAGCAGACTATTCATTCAAAAGGATAAACTTCCCTCCACCTATAGCAGGGTAAAGGTGAATTTAAGAACATAAGTTAAGTGATATTTACTGTGGGGAAAAGCATCTGAGAGGTAAACAAATGATGTATAAACCTGTTGAAAAAACTGAGGTATTAGTAAATGAGAAGATAAATATTAGGATTGTGAATCTATGGTG